TCTCCTTCTTCTTCTTCTTCTTTCAAAAATATTGCACCTGTTACTCCATTGATCAGTTAGGAAGCCTACCTTAAATGTAGGTTACACTGAAATTCTCAAGGGAAAAAGTTAAACCACCTGCTTAATAAAATTACCTTTTGTGTGTGAAGCTGTTCCATCCCTAGGTGATTTCTAGGCAAAGAAAATCACTATACGCCCTGCACTTTCATTTTGCAGTTGAATAGCAAACAAATGACCCAGTGCTTCTTGCATGGTGCACTGTTTTTACATCTGTTTTCCTTGCTTTTGTGTCATGCCTCTGTTTAGCTTTATTGACAAAACAATCTGTGCCTAATGTTTAAACAACATCTGTAAAATGTATTATTAAATTATGTTGGAAGAAAAAGCAGAGCAATTCTATGAAACCCTATGACCTCCTATTGATTTTTAGATCACAGAAGTTGCAAGGATAATTTGTGAATGTTTTAACATTTACATCTACACAGGTACCTATATTTATAGAATCTTTGATTACTTATAAAAGTATTTGCTACATTATTACCATAACTCAGAAGGAAACCCGACCTTTAACAGTTGAATCTGTTTATTATAAGGGCTATCCTATTTTTTAAAAAATAAGTTTACATTTTTACCTGCCAGTGGCATAAATCTCTAAGGATAACATACTTTTACCCCCACTGGTAATAAACGGGAAATGATGCCTGAATGCTTTGCAGTTTTGAAGGCAATAAATGAAGTAACTAGGAAAACCTGGTATATGTACTAAATCTGAGAACTACAGAGCTGGGATAGTTCTATAAAGTGTCACCTCACATGTTAGGATGCTTCCTGGGATTTCACGCACCCAGTTAGGGACAGTGATTTTTCTTTTTGCCTACACACTGTATTTCACATACACTATATATATTGCACCTGAAATCCATATTGCCTTCTCAGAGCATAAAGAAATAATCATTTAACATTAGGCCTTAATGAGAAAGTGTTTGGATGAGTAGTAATAAACAAAGCCACTGTAAAATTTGTTCAGTACACGCTAGGCCGGAACTCTGCTGAGGCAGAATGTGTCTGAGGCATCCAGCAAGTAGGATACAACCACAGGTAGAGGTCTGCATCATATGGAATCCCCACGCCTGCAAAACTGATGTGAAGACACAGAAGGAGTCTTTATCTGGCCATTCTACACTCACATTTCCAAGACATAAAGTTGGTGTATTCAGGAGAAAAAAGAACCAAGTATAGACTGACCTTGTGTGTGCGTGCATTTTCTTTAAAGTTCTACCTGAGTAATTAAAGACCTAAATGACCATCTCAGAATTTAAGAAGTTTCTGCTTACATGACTGACATGTTCGAGATATTAGTAATAGGTTTTCACAGCTGATATAACAGATGTAATTTTCACAACCACCACCACAATGAAAAATCAAAAAGACAAAAGTTCCAAATTCTATTATTTCTCATGTTTGGATCAAATCATAATTGGGAGTGAGAAAGCAAAGAGAGAAGAATACATGAGTCTATGGCACATATTATATTTCAAAACTTACTAAGCTTTTAAGTCTAAGTCTATCAGGGCACGCTAGATTGAAATGCTTAGGCAATTAGTTATGGAAGTCGATTTTTTTTAAAACACGCAGTTGCCTCAGATACTCAGATAATAAAGGTAAAAATATTTTCACCCAAATTATTTGCATAATTGCCTCAATTCTCAAAAAATTTGTTGGCATACACTTGTCCTACGATGTCCCATCTGATAAATTTCACATTCCATCCCTGGGCCCAGTTCCTATAAGCACAAATAGCAACCATTTTAAGATTCCTCCTCTCTGTTTCCATTCTGACAAGTAGATCAAACATAACAGTTACAATAGCTATTTCTTGTAATCCAAATTTTCTTTTAATTAATCAAATCTGTCTTGTTGTTTTCCATTTACATTCTCCCTATTGTCTCCTCTCCTCCATCCCATCTGCTTTGGCCTTAGCCAAGACGGGTAGTTTATATCACTTACGGCAATTAGAGAAGATCAGCTCCACGATGGAATGAAAGAGCCATTACAACACACCAAACTTTTCTCATCTCATTTTTCAATCAAAACTAAACTGAAAGCTGCATCAGCCAGGGTTTCTATGACAAGCTAACAACTAGACGTGAGTTTCTATTTTTCACTTTCATATTGTGTGCTTCGATACATTATGTTGCTGCCAATAATTATGACTGATCTACACCCAACCTGCCCTTCAGCATTTTATTAAATCTCTTCAACAGTGACTCATAGTTCGTACAAAATGTACATGTGTGTTAACAAGTTTTAAGAAATCCAAAAAGGAAGGCACACATTTTTAAATGTTGGGGCTAAATGAAGTGAAGGGAAAAGGCTAAAATACTAATGACGATTTTATTTTAATTATGATTTCTAGAAGGAAGTCACTTGGGCTTGATACTCAATACAGGAAAACTATTTACAGGCTCTCAAAAAAGCTCTGTGTAATTTTTTATTACAATAAAGGAAAATGAACACCCTTTAGTGGTTGTGCTGTTTTCAGTCTGCAAGGATGCCACAGTTTCAGATGCTCTGACACCTTTGGTTTTCATCAAGTATCACCTAGGTTTCCTCATTCTTCCAACCTATTTCCTACTCAAAGACTAAAATACTACTACTACTACTAATACTAATAAATCTATTATCAGCTCCTCAAAAGCTGAAGGTTTGGATGACAGTTAATAAACCATTAGAAACTCAAAGCAAACATCAAATTTAGGAGAAACAATCTCTTACAACTTTTATTTATTTGAGGGAAATTCTCTACCACCTAGTTGTTAGAGCTGAAACAGTTGCCGAATGCAAAACAATGAAGCGCAAGTAAAAGTCACTTCTGACTCTACACAAAAGTAGAGAGAACACAGGCACAGTACACAAAGCCACTTGAGATCAGAATTGTGTTTATATCGCACATAAACTAAAGGTGATCTGTACATACGTACCTGGGTAGAACTGAGTATCAGCGTGAAGTTTATAGTAAGTCTGCATATACTTTGAAAAGTAGTATAACTTCTTTAAGTTCCCTTTTTTCTCTTCTAATTGCAAAACCGAGGGTTTTTAATCGCTTTAAGACCACTGCATAGAATCTAGGAAAATGACAATTGCATACTGTCTGATGCCACAGGAACGCCTGCCTGCCCCTGCACCCACAGGAACTATGCCTTAAATTGGTCCACCTGTGGAAAGCAAGCTGTATTGGAAGTCGTTCACTGGTAACAATGTTTATGGAGGGAGTTTGCTAGCAACACTGAAGAGGAAGAGAGATGCAATGTGTGATAGATCACCTGAGTGGCAGCGCTTTCCCCTTCCTTAATTAGAGTTCGCCCTGCCACTCCTCAGCCCTCAGATGGGAACATTTCCCAGGGAGATACATTTGTACAGCCTCCATTGTATTAAAATTACATCATCAGTTTAACCTTGAAAATATATTTGAATTTAGGCGTGCATGCACAATGATGGTCTACCCTGTTAGCATTGTCCAGGATGATCTGAAGACTAAGTTCAAATGTATGGTATCGACAGTCTTGAAAATGAAGATGCAATAGCAGGCATGAGACAAACAAAAAAAATCCCCGCAGTGACACCCTCATAGCGACACATTTAGGTATAGTATGGTTTCCATTGGCTCCCTATCCACTTGGCTAAAGGGCTGCAAAAATTGATCTCCCAAGGCTACAGTAAGGTCATAGAAATTGATAACCCTTACAAGCAATGCTTATGTGAGTCTGTCTGTGTCTTGCAGATAGTGCACTTTGTAAATTAATCCTCCAAAGGCAAATATATTGTAAGTAGCTTGTTATCTCTAAAATACTAAATTGAAGAATACATGGGATTATATTGACAGAAATTGCATTTTCTGTAATGGGGTTTAATATATCTGGAATCTCTCCCAAAGGCTCCCAGGCTCTCTAACAGAGAAGGGTCTGTTAATGTAGGTGCAATGGACATCAAGAACAAATTTATTCACCAAAATGGATTAGGGCATGTAATCAGAGATTCTGTAATATTAATCTTTGACACTTACTGAACAGAAAGAAATACTTCTGTCTGCAAACTGGCATCCCCATTTCTCCCCTTTCCTCAACCAGGCTGTGGGCCTCTTCTGGATTTTACTTCAAAGAGGATAAGGTTTCCCCATCATAAACACTAATCTAAAAATATTAGGACAATTAATTAGATACACTTAGTTTGAGAGGATATTGGATTTCGATACCCTTCAAATATGACACTAGCTCTGGGTGATTATATGAACCTGGCTTTCAGCACACTCACAAAGGGTAATAAATCATACTTTCCCAAAGCCTTGTGGCCACACGTTGTCCGAACATCGTTGGCTGGTACTTGGTACGTAATCTCAGCTTCCCCCAAATCAGGAATTCACACATTTATTTAGAAATAGTATTGAATGGCCCTGAAATACATCAGGTTTTGAACAGCTTCAAAGTGGAAACACAAATAATTTCATCTTTTTCCATGGACAGAGGATAGGAGGAAAGGGGAGGCTATGCTCAAAGGCTCAGCCCTAACAAAATAACTGCAGTTAGCTATCATTGAATTTAAAATCCGACTGATATGTGATGGTGGATTTTCTTGTCCCACAGCAAAAAGGATGATGCCACTCTTTCTATCAGTTATCCTAAAAGGAAAAAGCCATTTATGGAGCCACAGTGTATGTGAATTAAACACTTAACTTATACTATGCCTAAAATCTGTCAATTTATAAAGGCAATGGAATGCAATGTTGGTGTTTTGGCTTGTTTTGTTTTTGTTTGTTTTTTGGGATTTTTCCCACGCTCGCCAGTGCTTTCACCTATCAGTCAACCATTTATTTCCACCTTTCCACCAAGGAACCACCAGGGAAAACAGCAACAACTGGGTGTGTCTTCCTAATGCAAAACATTAGCTGCAGGTTGCCTGAGAGGGAAGCAGACTGTGTATAAACACAAAGCCAAATTACTTACCAATTGTTCACTTGAAGGATGGTGAGTCCCGTGTCTTGTGCCAACTGCTTTTTCTGTTCTTCAGAAGGGTAAGGGTGCTGAAAGAGAACAAAAAAAGACAGATGTGTGCACATATACTCTGGGCAGAGAGTGCAGTGTGTATCACATGTCAGGTTCAATGCTAGGTGCTAGTGATTCAACAATAAACACATACGCTCTGTAAAAATAATATGTGTGTATCAGGCAATATTTAGGCTATTTTGTCAATAGTCTACGTGTCTAGTGAAGTCTATAATTAAAGGTAAAAATGCTGAGGTGTGTCACTCTTATTAATGGAATACTACATCATCTAATTAATGGCAGTAAAAGACAAGCCAATTACTAAGATTAGTGAAGTGTATAAATAGCTACTTAGGATACTTGCAGAACCTTGATACTGAGTTTATCCTTTAAAGGTTTATTTGTTGCAAACACAGAAAGTTTAGTGTGATCTTCACTGTATGAGACTAAAATAAGGACAACGCCTTTTTGATTATATAAAATCATATCACCTTGATGTAATATTTTCATAGAGCCACAGACTTCTAAAGCTGAACCATTTGGACCAACCATCTTAGCTGAGGTCCTCAGTAGTTAAGCACTTTGTTAGCACGACATTTTCCTCCCAAAATACCATACTGCCAGATGCAAATATCAAAATTAAAGTGGGTGGATATTTTTTAACCACTAATCATTGCAGCTCTTCTGAAAAGCAAACAAAGGACATTCAACCAAAGTTGGTTTCCATATCTGAATGTCAGCACATGCTGGGATTCTGAGCACAGGCCAATACAAGGTCAAAGACCAGCATATTTTGCATGCTAAGAACAAGCCCAGCCATGTTGCTCATGAGTTAGAGTGGATAAAAAAGTATTACGGGATTAGATAATAAAATGAAACTCATACCCTCTTGAAAGAATGTTTGGAATTCTACTGAAATTAGTTTTGGCACAAATAGTTTTTGTTCGGTAATGAACTATATCTAAATCTGAAATATACATTTCTAAAGCCTGGGACCTGGTATTCATCTATGGACGTACTGACTAGCTTGAAACTACTGCATCCCAATAAATTATCCCCAGATAAAAATTGTTCTAGTAGTCAACCCTCTATTCTCTTATGAATTGAGAAAGGGCACCCTCAACTCTCAATTTAACTATCTTTGCCACTGGAAACTAAATTCTGGTCTATTGAATGTTAATTAACACAGGTTTTAATCTCATTAATAATGTCTGATTAGATGCTAAGAAGGCTCGTTAATGACCACTTTAATGCTATCATATGTAAGTTTAAATATGTTCTATATCTGTACACGTGGGATTCGTTTGTGGAGAGCAGAGATGTAGCAATTTTTCCCAGAAGCATTGTCTTTGATTGTCACTTAATCAATAAATACACAATTAGAATAAGGCTTTGCTTTCATGGAATATAGTGCCTTTCTCTAAAGAGCTCCAAGTATATTACAGGCAGGATGGTAATTAATCCCCATTATATCCCTTTGAGGGACATAAATGGAATCTATTGTTCCTCCTGTGTTACAGGTGAGGAGACTGGCCAGGGAAAGGCATGGTCAGCAGCCGCATGACTCAGTGATATTTCCTGCTTCCCTTCCAGTGTCTAAGCCTCACCATGACTGAGGGATGTGGCAAATGCCTTTCATAATCTTCATTCTTATGCCCTCCCCAAAACTTCCAGACTGCTTACTCTGGCCTGTAAGGCACGCCACCACCCAGGCCTGCCCACCTCTCAGACTTTGTGGCCTTTTCTTCGCCCCTGCGAAGACTGACCACACCGTCCTCCTTTCTGTTCTTCCAACACACCAACCTTGTCCCTACCCGTCAGTCCCCTGCTCCAGCGTCACTTTCTCGTCTCAGCTGAAAGGCCAAGCCTTACCCACCCGGTGTCCAGCAGCCCACCTTACTGCCCTCACATCGGTTTTTTTCTTTTCTCCCCAACAGCAGAGCATCACTCTCTGACACACCTGGTGTGCCTCTTCTCACCCATGGAGCAAATCCAAAATCCATGACTTTCACATTCACCATCCTCAAAGCCCTGCCTGGCACGTAACAGGAAATCAGTAACTATCTGTGAAACATGAAGGAGGCTAGGTCTTGCCATGATACACAGATACTGCCCACTCAGATGCAACATCAAAATGTATAATAAAAATTTTTTCAACGGCCCACAGGAGGTATAAACAATCCAATTTGAGATCCACAGTGCTACTTTCCTGACTTCGTTCCTAACAGTGGTGTCAACCCACTCTTTTCAAATAACAGTATATAAATTTCCAGATAGGCTAAGATCATAAGTGACAATCACCCTACACAACATAATGCCAGTCATGAGGCAAAATGTCATGATTGGACACCGAGTTAAAAGAATCCTGTACCCTAGGGTTTAAAACATAGCTACTGCTACATAAAAGTTTGCCACACAATACGAACCATATGAACCTCTTACCCTATGAATAGACACTGAATTAAGGTTTGATATACAGAATTTCTTTTTATTTAATTTTTTAAACATGTTTTATTTATTTCTGAGAGAGAGAGAGAGAGAGAGAGAGAGACAGTGTGAGCAGGGGAGTGTCAGAGAGAGAGGGAGATACAGAATCTGAAACAGGCTCCAGGCTCTGAGCTAGCTGTTAGCACAGAGCCCGACGCGGGGCTTGAACCCACAAACCATGAGATCATGACCTGAGCCGAAGTCGGACGCCTAACCGACTGAGCCACCCAGGCACCCCTGATATACAGAATTTCTATGTCTACATTAGTTGAAGAACTGTATATAGGTACACATGACTCTGTAGAGTATATAAATTTATGCTGCCACTCACTAACTATGAGATTTTAAACAAGAGACAACTTTTCTAATCTTCAATTTTGTCATCTGGAGTTTAAAAATCCATCACAGCTAAAAGTTACCCATGCTGGCAATTCCTACAGATTATAAGCCTGATTTTGAAATATGCAAATGTTAGCATCCAGCTTCTGGCCCTATTTGCCATATAAAATTACAGACCCATGTACACAAGTTGTTTCCAATCTGTAACATCTTCTGTAATTTGCTTATAGTTTTTCAGGTCCTCTGGAAATCTTTTTCAGTGACTTGCAATAGAATTAATAAACATGTCAACAGTCTCTCTTCTCTGTAGCTGGATGGCAATACCTTTTGCCCTGCCTCATTAGTTGTGACTTAATATTATGACCAGAACTGGATAAAAATTAATATTTATGCCATTTACCTTTAGTTGCTTTGAAAATTGAGAATTGTCACAGTCATTTATTTGTGCTGTGTTTTCAAGAGTATTTTTGCATGCCTGTTTGTGAGTAAGTTTTACAACCATTCTTATAAAGCAAATGGAACTCACATGTTATTTATGCAGGTGGTGTCAGGAAAATTCTCTCTGGATCATTAAAATTACCTGAATCATTACAGCTTCAAAGAGCAATCGCTGGCCCTCAAAATTTCAGTGCAAACTTAGGTTGTTTCTTCATATCATGCAGTTTCTGATTTCACAATTTAAATATCATGAAATGAGAAAGTTCTAGCCGTTTTTCCTCTTCCACTTTTCATGTGATCTGATTTTAAGTAATTGGAACACACTGTGTCTAATTTCATGCAGCATAATTGCTAGGCAGCCTCAAGCTATGGAGACCCAGCACTCCATCTCCATTAAACAATTTTCAGTCATTGAGGATATATTTTTTTAAATAGAAATGAATGAGCCTGGATGAAATTAAATGCCACAATAATCTGGTCATTGTTAAGAGGGGGAAAAGGTGTCAACAAAATTCCCTAAACCCTTGTCTATGGTAGGGAGACTGAATTTTTTTCTTAGTTCTTGGCCTGGGTGTCCCACAAACTGTTAATTCTCTGAAAAAAATCCATAATTGCTAGAATCACATGAAAGCCATGACTTCAGGTAGCTAATCCACAGTCAGCCAAAAATTCACAAAGAAGTAAGCTTTTAACTGAAACCCAGTATCTCTAAATATCTTAAATCCTATGCATCTTTCCTAAATACGCTCTTTGTGGACAGTATGAGTTATTCCTTTGTAGACTAAAAAAAAATGACTTGACAAAAACCCAACATGCCAGGAGCAAGGCTGCTGTAAAAACATTCAGAATCCTGTTGTGTTATGCCCACGGGGTCGTAAGATGGGCAAAGGTAGACATCAGTTTACAAAAGAAATAAAGAGGAGAACATTCTAGGAAGAAAATGGGAAATTCACTCCAAACCATTGCAAGCAAGAGCCTAGGTCGGCCCTTGCCATTCTCCTGAACACCTTTGCTATTAACAGCAAGGATACTAGTTTAAGAAAGATCAGTAGGTTCTTGTGAAGGGAAGACGGGTTGCACTTGGCCAGATACACCAATCAACACAATCACTTTGGGATATCAAAGCAAATTTGACCACAGTCCAATAGGTAGTGACAGGAGACCTCTCCTTTGTTGTGTACATTACCCTCATGCCATTATCTCTTAAAAGCTTAATTATTTGCAAACAATTGATCAAGATGGGAATTTGAGAAAGGATATGCAAGGGCCACTGGGAGAACTGCAACGCATTAAGAGAGCAAACAAAATTACCTTTAGATCTTACAATAAGAATTAACGATTGAGAGGGGAGAGCGAGGCAGGGCAGTAGCTACAAGGGTTCTTTCTCGAGTGTTTCCCATTTGATCTGCATTAACACCTCAGGAATGAGTGAAAGCCATAAAAGAGTGATTATGTAAGGGTGAAGCAGACCCTCCCTTCCAGCATTAAACCTGCACACATGTATTGGGCTGGCTTCGCTGGGGAGAGAAGAGATGCTGGACTCAATGGGAAAGGAAATGACTTGGGGTAGTGGAACCCCAACTCAAGGGAATAACTCACAAAATGATCATCCTTATTTCAGCAATCAAAGCCCTGACTTCTTTCCAGGGTAAGTCTCTTGCCGAAATAGAAACAGTGTGTCACTCTTCCTTGGGTTTCTGGATCTGAAGTGTGACTTCTAATAATGACCTAGTAGAGCAGTGATTGCTTAATAACCCCATCAAAGAATAAAATG